TGTGTGTGTGTGTGTGTGTGTGTGTGTGTGTGTGTGTGTGTGTGTGTCAAGTGCACCACATTTGAAGCCTACTGAGTGTATGGATCTGGGAAAGGGAAGAGGAATGAATAGCTGAGATACAAGAATGTTGTTCATTTTCTTTAGTCTAGTGGCTCTTAATCTATGGTTGAGACCTCTCGGTGGGTTATGAAGCAGGTTTTGAAGCTATTTTTCAGATTTTCTATTGTTTTCTGCCTCTGTTTTTGTGACACACTGAATATTTTCAACCTCCTTCGACACTTCATTAATAGAAACAAGTTTAATGAATCAGATATTTAGGAGGGTTGCCCGTTTGATTGATAATCCTGTTTCCATGCTACAGAGTCTTGATTACCGAGGTCTCCCACCACGATATATTGCAACTTCACATTTTCCCCTTGACATTTTACCCCAAAAGATATTTCTGTCAAGATCATATTATGGTATACCCTCACCTCTGTGCAAACAGTATAATTAAACTGCACTATAAGATACTTTCTGGACTCTCTGGTGGTTGCCTGTGCAGAGCCAGGCTGGCTGTTTCCCTCTGTGTTCAGTATGTATACTAAGCTAAGCTAAGCTAATCTTCTCCTGGCCCTAGTACAGACATGAAAGTGGAATTGATCTTCTCAATTACCCCTCGGCAAGAAAGCAAATATGCGTATTATCCAAACTAATTCTTTCTTCTTCTAAGTATTTCTTAAATTGTGTTATAATTCAGTTTAGTGTGCATGAAAATGCAACCACTGTCTCTCTCTTTAAAATGATAAATTAAACTTTTGGGAAGACTTTGAAGATGCAGTCCTCGAACTGCTCAATCTATTGTTTCAGTTGATATGTTTCTGCAGAAACTCAAGCAGGCCATAATTCTCTTGTCGACAGACACAAGTTAATACTGTGGACCGAGTACAAACGGAGTTCATCATCATCCTGATGTTCTCAGCCCCCCATGAGAGTCTCACTGCGTCCAATCGTTTCTTCACCCACCGTCTGTCTATATTAGACACAGGGTGACAGGACAGCTGTCTCCGGGCCTCCTCTTGGTCCATGTTTGCATGCACAAGGATGAATGTGTGCCTTTGCAATAGATCTAGCATGGCAAATGCACGTCATGTGGCTTGTTTGACTGAGTACGCTGTCTCCCTGCTCCAGTCTCTGATCCTGACATTGGACCCAAAAGGGGAAGCATCATCAGGGAATTTGGCAGGCTTTGATCACAGGGCTGTCCAGTGGGGGTGCACGGTTAATACGCTGTGTGAAGAGCAAAATGTGACACACTCGTCTTATATCGAAGAATGGGTCATGTGTAACCCCCAATTCATCGAGTACAAGTGTGCTTTGTCAGTCAGGCAACTATAAAATTGCCTCCAGTGGTCAATTGTCAATCAAATGAAAGTTTCCTGCTGTGAAACACAAAGAACAAATTAACAATAATTGCTTCATCTTGAAGGCCAAGAACCACAGATGGCATAAACAAACAGGAAGCATAATGAGACTATAAATACTTGCCATGACTGTTTACATTCTTTCACACAGAACCTTCAGATGGAAGCTCAACAGATCATACGAGAGTCAAAACTGCTGAACAGCATGCTCTAAAAGATGATAAACGTACCGTAGAAGATCATCATTTGAGTGACACTTTACCCAGTTCTCAGTCAGCCAAAAGCATTTCAGAAAGAGGTTCCAAAATGTTCCTCCTGCAGCATGCTGGCATTAATCATGAGCATGTTAAGAGAGACTGCAGGGTCACAGGGTTACATTTCAAAGCTGATTTTATGTTGTCCTGCAGGATTGCTCTGCTATAGCTGCGCGATAGTTCACATCATTTAGAATGATGCAACAGTATATAAGAGAACATGTATTCAAAGCTACCAACAGCAAGGTAATCAAAGCCATAGTGACCTCACAGTAGATTAAATAATCATGTAACCCATGGAAAACCTGGA